TATTTATTTGGTATTTAGCTGTGAAGGTTAAATCGTCACATACTTTGTCTGATAGACTAATGCTTAGTTTCTGAATATATATAATTTTGATAGTAACAAACAAGCCTATTTAAATTGAAAAGGAGAAACCCAGAGATTGAGGAAATTTAGACTTGCTTTATTTAGGGCTTTAGCACTGCAGAAAGAGCTTGGCAGTGAGAGATACCATTGTGACAGAGGTATTAACGTTCTGATGTCATAACTGTACACTGTTATGACGTCATACGTCCGGCATCACGCAATGTTATTACACAATGTGTAGTAACAGTGTAGATTTATTAAACAGTGAGTAATAATAAATTATTATCCCATTTATTGATGGCCATAACAGTTATATCAACGATTTTAAGTTATCAACCAGTGTGCTCTCTTCTCAGTTGTAGGTATTTCAGTTTTTTCTAAAAAGATAGGCCTCTCCTCTCTGTGGAATTCCTAATTTTGTGTACTATATGGTCCGCTGTCCTTATCTCTGTCTTATTAAGCGGTGTAAAACTAAACTTGCTCGCTTGCTATGTATGATGAAGCCGAGTTCCTAACAGTCTTATTCATGGCGACTAATGGGATCGGGTGATCAGGCTCGCTGACTTGGTTGACACATGTCATCGGTTCCCGTTTGTGCAGATCGATGCTCATGCTGTTGATCACTGGATTGTCTGGTCCAGACTTGATTATTTACAGACTGCTGCCATATAGCTTGAATATTGCTGAGTGCAGCGTAAAACTAAACTCACTCACTTACACACTGTCTTATTCATGAGTACAGGAAATGTAAGAGAACCATGTTTATCCAGAGATTTGCGCTTCCTCAAATATTGTGTGGATACATGAATATATGGACATCTGAATTCCTTGAGTTAACTCCTCTAAACAAATTCTATGGCAGCTGAAACACTCAATTAAAAAATGTGTATGATTATTTGTGTAATATCACATTAAAATGACATCATATCCCTTCAGACATAAATGTTTGAAATTTAAATTGTATTTTCTGTCCCACTTGGTGCACGTATATATATGGATATATATATATATTTATTTAGGAATTTGGTGTATCAATGACCTTTTTCTTGTTCAAGCTATTTTCATACAAATTGTATTTCTGAGTCCTGGTTATCATGTCAGTAGTGAATTATGATATATGTGAAGTCACCAGCACAATCATTCTACGTAACCGCACTGACATTTTCATGCTTCCCCTGTGCTTTGCTGGTAATTCATAATACATTACCATGTATGAAAGCAAAGACTTATGACTTGCCTGTTTCCTTTTAGAACTCTCATGAGGCACAGCTGAAATATTTATTTGGCGATTGTTTACACTTTACAATAGAAGCCTTGATAACATGGGGTATCGATAACATTTTTCTGCGCTCAGTTCTCTGCTGTTGTAGTGATGTATGATCTCATACATGAGTTACTAGACCATACTCGTAACAGGTTGGAATGTTTATTTGTTTGTTATTTGTTTCCTGTTCAACACCGCACTTATCAGTTATCCGTGTATATGAAGGCTGCCTGTAAATAATTGAGTAAGCCAGAGAAGCAAGTGATTGATATCATGAGCAAAATTGATTAAATCACTGCCTGACCACATTTAGTCAGCTTATATGACAAGCTTTGGTTGCTATGGGTACAGGGGTGGAAATAACTTTAAAATTGCTAGTGTACTCCGATACAGTGGCACATGTAAAATCACTTGCCCTGATAATTTTCCACTATACCGGCCGTTTTCTTGTTGATTTTTTAAATAAACAACATAATTAATATTGGAAAGACAACTGGACACCGGTACAGTGTGATATACAAATTTGCTTGCCCAACAGAAAAAAACACTAGACTCGGGCATCGAGCAATGGGTTTTTTCCACCCCTGGGGTATATTCTATCTTGGAATCCTCCTGGTGTGTGTATGACTCATGATGGCCAAATGTCATGACAGATTCTTTCTTGCTGAAACTATTTTCTTTAAAGCAAAAGTTGTTTATTATCATTTTAATTTTAGAGTGAGCGAGTAAGTTTAGTTTTACGCCGCACTCAGCAATATTCCAGCTATATGGCGGCGGTCTGTAAATAATCAAGTCTGGACCAGACAATCCTGTGATCAACAGCATGAGCATCGATCTATGGGAACTGATGACATGTTTCAACCAAGTCAGCGAGCCTGACCACCTGATCTCGTTAGTTTCTGAAGGCCAATATTCTAACCCGGACCTTCACGTGTTTTTAATTTTAGAACATGTAGGGAATGATTGTTTATTTGATATATAGAGAATCTAACCCGAGTGTCTTTTGATATCAAATATATCAACACGAGTTGATAAAGTTACAGATATCCGAGGCTTGCTTTTCAGTGAAAAATGTACATCTCTGAACACGCTTCTGCTATTAGACTTGCAGTGCAGCGATGTCATAGCATTGTGACGTCATTAAGTTCATGACGTCATAGCATTGTCAGGGCATTGTACTGAATCCACTGTCAAAATGATATCTCCTAGGAGATATTGTTTGATTTCACACAAGCAATATCTCCTGTGGAACACAGTTTTGGATGATAAATTTATTATTTGTTTTAAGCTTGTCATTTTTGTTATGCATATTTCTGAAGGGATTTTTCACTAAGAATTCAATTTTCTGTTGACATTCTTGCTGTAAACTGGCTGTTAATTGACCTCAGCATGACTCTTCTTGTTGTATTGGCTCTTGAATCTTGACATTTTGGAGGCATGGAATTGATCCGGAATCAACCAGCCAGCTTGAGGGACAAAAATCTTGTGCTTTTGGGTGATTCAAGTATGGATAATCGTCAGTAGTTCTGAAGCATGACAGAAACATGACAGTTGGGGACTAGTTTTGTACACCGAGTTGTTCTTGCTACTGTGACAGGACTGTTTATACAACCTAATGATGTCGCCAAGAAACTGAGGGTAATGAAGTAGAGTTGTTTGTTTGTCGGTTGCACTCAGCAATATTGCTGCTGTGTGACGGCACTCTGTAAATAATGGAGTCTACACCAGACAATCCAGTGATTGACTTCGTGAGTTTCTCTCCTACTTGAACCTATTTTTATGCTGTTCAGCATAATAAGAATGTTACATGACATGTTTGCGCTTGGTTGTTGGCTATTTTTGACAGAATAATGAAAGTGTTTGTTGACAGTTCATGAATGTGTACATGATAGTTGTGGGATGACGTGTGTTTTGTTGCCTAAGGTGGCAAGGAAGGAGTGTTATTTCATTTTGAAAACAGTTTGTCATATCTTTCGGCTGGTCAAAAGAGGAGACAAGTTTTTTCACTATTTGGCATTCTGCAGCCCCTCCCACAGGAAGTGATGTCTGAATTGATGCCAAGTGTCTCAGGTGAGGCATTTTGGGAAAGAGTGAATACAGCAATCTGTAGTGGATAGAAATTGAAGGAGGAATACCTTAGGCAGATTCACCTGTGCCACAGATGTATTGGTGTGGCCTTGTATACTTGTGTCCCCTGATGGGGTGGATTATGGCCACTTTGATGGGGTGGAGCATTGCCGTTTTGTTTGGGTGGAGCATTGCCGTTTTGTTTGGGTGGAGCATTGCTGTTTTGTTTGGGTGGATCATTGTTCTCCTTATGAGGTGGATTATAGCCTCCTTGATGGGGTGGATTATGGCCACTTTGATGGGGTGGAGCATTGCCGTTTTGTTTGGGTGGATCATTGCTGTTTTGTTTGGGTGGATCATTGTTCTCCTTATGAGGTGGATCATTGCCTCCTTGATGGGGTGGATTATGGCCACTTTGTTGGGGTGGAGCATTGCCGTTTTGTTTGGGTGGATCATTGCTGTTTTGTTTGGTTGGATCATTGTTCCCTATATTGAGGTGGATCATTGTTCCCTATATTGAGGTGGATCATTGTTCCCTATATTGAGGTGGATCATTGTTCCTCTGAAGTAGTGGAACATTGCCTCCTTGATGGGATGGATCCTTGATCCCTTATGGAGTGAATGATTGATCCTTTAATGGGTTCCCAGTTGGATCCTTGTCTCCTTGTTGAGTTAGATCCTTGCTCCCTTAACAGGATGGGTGGTTCACTGTTGTTCTTTTTCTGGGGTTCATAATTGCTCCTTTGTTGAACAGACGTCACTGAGAGAGTGAATGTATTCTAAACACAATAAATGATATTCCTACCCTTGACAAGTTAGTGTTTTACTTTTTTAATTGATGTTCCACAAAAATGAAATATATTGTGCACAAATTTGATCTGAAACTACTTACCATTACCTTATTGCCTATCTTGAGAAAAAGAGTTAGGTCTGTTAGCGTAAAACTATTTAAACAAACCAAGATTCATGCAAATTAACAAACTGCTTGACAACCTCTTCATTATAATCTGTAATGGATAGTTTGGGGCAAAATGGCCAGGTCAATTATAAGCATACTGTAATAAGACTTAACACTGTAAAGGATGTGAACAGATTTACATACTATGTATATTCATATAGATGTATTTCTTGATGATGTATACTTAGCTTGTTAAATATGAGAAATGGAGCAAATTGACTCTTGTGATATATATGTATTGTATTGTGCCTTTTTCACAATACGTATTAACATTTTGGCGTATCTACCCGTGAAGGTCGGGGTTAGAATTGATCTTCAGTAACCCATGCTTGTCGTAAGAGGCGACTAACGGGATTGGGTGGTCAGGCTCGCTGACTTGGTTGACATATGTCAACGGTTCCCAGACCACTGCCTGGGACCACAGACCACCGCCATATAGCTGGAATATTGCTGAATGTGGCGAAAAACTAAATTCACTCACTCACCCCCCTCATTGGCGTATCTTGACACCCTATTATATCATAACATCATGACGTGTAAGGTAACCTGTGCAAACGTCTTGATACAGACCACCTAATAGTTGAATCATATTTGCCTGCAGCAAGGCATACCATTCATCATTTATTTCATAATATTTTGTTCTGTTTCCAGATTACATGGATGGTGCGGACTGTGGGGACCGGAAGCATTTAGGAGGTGCTACTGTATATTCACACACAATAGTAGGGGACAAAAATAGTTACGGCATTAATCTGGAGTGCCGTATGACTTTTATAGCTGAAAATGATGACTGGAAGTTAATGCTCCGGATCATTGAATTGGATATACCAGACAGGACGGAAAATGGGATTTGCAATGATGCTCTGTATATATACGATGATAGTGACATCTACACAAGGGCAATGGTGAGTATGACTTCCACCTGTACAGGGCTCCAGATAAGGGCCATATTGGCGTATCATGTACGGATGATAAATATGCACAATACGATAGGAAATAATTTAGAAAACGTAGCAGATACGCACCACAGCAATGGTGTCTTAGAATCATTTAAAGACGTATTTATATGAAAAAAGTATTGTTTTATTGGTTTTTTACCTGTTTGCACAAGAGAAGCAATGTTGTGACGCATATATGAAACGAAACACAAGATCACATACCCCATTAAACTCCATTCAGTACTCTAAATGTACTCTTAAGATTTTCCAGTACTCCTATATTTAAAAAATAAGGAGTACATAGTCCTGATGATGAAAAATTATCTGGATCCCTGCCTGTATACTTACATACCTGGGCCCCGTTTCACAAAGCTCTCGTAAGCCTAAGATCTACGTAACTTTTTCGTAGCATTAGAAAAGCGTCCCAGATCTTACAGTAGAAAGAGCTTTGTGAAACGGGCCCCTGGTAGTCTGTTGGTCTTCAGTTTGTCATACGTAGTCACACACTGTTCACAAGTTCTACCCAGTTGTTTGCAGTCATGTATAGTAATACAGTTGTATGCATTATATATATAGTTGTATCGTTATATACTGTTGTATAGTTATACACAGGTATTTAAAGTCAACTATAGTTGTATGCATTCATATAATATCGCAGAGTTATATGTAGTTGTGTAGTCATGTACACTTGTATGCAGTCGTACACAGTTGTATATGGTCAACACAGTTGTATTCACTTATACACAGTTGTATTCAGTCCTGCGCAGTTGTATAGTCAAATGCACCTATATATGGTCAACACAGTTGTATTTGGTCAACACAGTTGTATATGGTCAACACAGTTGTATATGGTCAACACAGTTGTATTTGGTCAACACAGTTGTATATGGTCAACACAGTTGTATATGGTCAACACAGTTGTATATGGTCAACACAGTTGTATATGGTCAACACAGTTGTATATGGTCAACACAGTTGTATTTGGTCAACACAGTTGTATATGGTCAACACAGTTGTATATGGTCAACACAGTTGTATATGGTCAACACAGTTGTATTCACTTATACACCGTTGTATTCAGTCCTGCACAGTTGTATAGTCATATGCACCTATATATGGTCAACACAGTTGTATATGGTCAACACAGTTGTATTTGGTCAACACAGTTGTATTCACTTATACACAGATGTATTCAGTCATACACAGTTGTACATTGATATGCAGTTTTATTACCCTTTTCGGGAAACATAACTAGTGTCATATATATCATGTGTGCACATGTGCACGTATCACTTTTGCCTAGCAACCATTGTTTCTGTATTTCATCGTCTGTGATGTCATTGAACAGTTGAATTTGATGTCAATGAACAGGGCCGTCACACTAGCTTACAGTGTTTCACTGCACAAATGTACATGAATAAGAGGATAATGATGTATGATTGTACGACTGTGTTGACCGTATACAGCTGTGTATGACTGACTATACATAGAAATCAAGTGTGTCATACGACTTATATCAAACTCGTGCAAAATTATATATTGCCCGAGCGAGAGCGAGGACAATACATAATTTTGTGCAAGTTTCTTATAAGTCGTATGACACACTTGCTCGTGTAATGATCTCTATGTATAGTCATACACAGCTGTATACGGTCAACACAGTTGTACAGTCATACACACTTGTACACAGTTATGTCTTCAGACGACTGTATCTCTATTCAGTTCTTTATCTGACTGTATAACTGCACATTAGATATTAACACATCAGTGTGTGGCTGACACACCTCATCTAGGCCTGCTGGGATAATCTACTTGGGTACCGGTACAATTTATCAGGTACATGCCACACTCTGTTTTGCCATTACTTTGCTGCATATGCCATGAATCTTACATGATGCAAGCCACGGATGCTGCTAAATTGTCTCTCCCCTGAGATTTGCAAAACCAGCTTACGTTACTCAACCAGAAAAATGATTACGTTTTATGAGAGAAGCATTAACTTGTAGATAGTAAGTTGGACACTTCAATGTTTGGAGGGTGATCTATTAGCTTGGGCGGGCTCACGCAACTAATTTAACTCAATCGCGAATCCTTTGTGTGTGTTCAGTTGGAGCACTCAATCTCAGATCCCTTGCAGTGGGGATGACACTTATCAGGAAAAGATCTTAACCTATCAGCTCTAGTGCGTACGGTTGGTCACACTTTTCCATTATTCTCAAACTCCCCTGCCCTTGCCTCATTAGTAGAACATTAGTTGGACTGTAATAAAAATGATCGATTTGGTGGAGTCTGGAACACAGTTGTACACTGTGGAAAGAGAATCTCATCCAGCCAGTTTATTTTGGCTACTTAGCAACACTGAAAGAGAAGGTTGTATAACTCACTTTTATTTTGCCATAAAATCTTCCAAGTATGAGTGGGATTGTTGTTGGCGTGTTTACTCATACAACAGTGCTTGTACAACAGGACGGGAATGTTTGTAAATGCTTCGCTAATGTTTTCACGAGAGTCGGACCCTTTCGGAACACCCCCTCGACCAGGACAATATCCTCGGCAATTATAAACTAAGAGGAAGGGCTGCGTAAAGATTTAATGTTGTCAAAGTGAGCCTTGCATTTTCTTTTTGTCAACGAGGTATTGAGCTACAGAGAGCCTAGGAGGGGTAACAAGCATGTACGGCATGGTGCACTGTATTGTGTGGAGAGGCCTTGTGGAGGGTACACTGTAGACAGCATGTAACTACACTCGTTCAGGCCACCTGCCCCTTTGTCAGGCATGTAGAATGCAGGCTTTATATCATAGCTGAAGTCCCAGTCAAGCTGTCGTAGTCTTACACCTGTAATCATGATAATGACCCGAGGTTGGGGAAGATTTGTTGGTTTTGCATGCAATATGGTGATTATCGTCATGTGAAGTTTAACAAACTGGATTTAAAAAACTTGCAATAAACATTAAAATCGAAAGGCTGGGGACTTGATTGTTACCCAACCTTTTTAGGAAGCATACAGATTGAAATTAGCTTCAGTGTATGCATGGGGAAATAGCTTTTTCAAAGATCTTGCCGAGGACCCTTAACCTAGCCATTCCTTTCTATTGGTAGGCCAGTGTGGTTAAATGGCTAATTATTTAGTTGGTAAATGATTAAATGTTCTCACAGGTTATTAAACACAGTTGTCTCCTTTGGCAATCTGTGAGTGTTGATAGCGATGATTGTTCAGTAATTGTTCGATGATTGTTGAATGTTGTCTCAGCTGTTGCCTGATGGTGTTGCATTGATAGAGGATTAATAATGGAGCACCTGGTCACATGACAAGAACATTTTTGGCCCGTGGATTTTATTCACTGTGTCTCATGACAAGGATAGCAGATCATTATGTGACAAAAATGCCAATTGTCATATAACTAAGAAACTGCTTGTCACATGACTAGTTAGCATTTCTAGGAAGGCCTCTGTGTCACAAGATGATATATACCATTTGAACTTTCAGGAAACTTGTCACATGATTAGAACACAACTCTCAGGAATCCACTCGTCACATGACTTGGAAGTGATTTGTTTCATGATTAGAGTATAACATGCAGGAAACCACTCATTACATGACTAGGATACCAACTGTCACATGATAAGGATACCAACTGTCACATGGCTAGGATACCAACTGTCACATGATAAGGATACCAACTGTCACATGGCTAGGATACCAACGGTCACATGACTAGGATACCAACTGTCACATGGCTGGGACATGATACCAACTACAGGATACCAACTGTCACATGGCTAGGATACCAACTGTCACATTAAGGGATACCAACTGTCACATGGCTAGGATACCAACTGTCACATGGCTAGGATACCAACTGTCACATGGCTAGGATACCAACTGTCACATGGCTAGGATACCAACTGTCACATGGCTAGGATACCAACTGTCACATGGCTAGGATACCAACTAGTCACATGGCTAGGATACCAACTGTCACATGGCTAGGATACCAACTGTCACATGGCTAGGATACCAACTGTCACATGGCTAGGATACCAACTGTCACATGGCTAGGATGTAACATGTTGCTTGATAAGGATGACACTTTGCAGCATGATCCCACTGCCTAATCGGACCCAGTTTTACACTGTTGTATACTGCTCCACTTTTGATAAGGATAGTTTTTATTTTTCCTTGAGGCTTAAAAAAAATGTTGTGGTTCCGATTACCTGACCGACCCTTTAGTTCTAGTTTTTTTTAAGCGGTATATATAAAATAAGCGTTTTTCCCCGGCACTGACGGACATCGGTGATTCTGATAGAGAAAGTCGACATGATGGCGGCAAGCTTGATTAAATAAACAATTACACATTGATAAATGTGTTATTAGTTTGTACTTATTTTAAAAAAAAAATGTAAAAATAAAAAAAACCTACCTACCTACCCTAAATTTTAAAGAGCTGTAATCGGAACCACAATAATTTTTTTATTTGGCCTGATACACAAAATTTATTCTTGTAACATGTCAAGTCATATTTAAATAGATGACTTATGTTTTATGTCACTTATATATTGCTAATTGTGGCATACACTTACTCCTAGTTTCTGAAGGTGACATTTATTGGTTTGAACATTGTGTTTGTTACAGGAGGAGGCAGGAGGCAACGCGGGGTTGTGTGGGAATATTCTACCTGGAACAATATACTCATCAGGCCAGTTTTTAACCGTCCATTTCAGGTAGGTACAAAATCTTGCTTAGAACAAGGATGTTTAATGGACTACATAAATGCAATACGCTTTAAAGACATGCCTTTGATGTCAGATTTCAAGATCTTCTCGAATGGATTTCTTGATTGGTTGCCAACCATTTGGATTAGTGGCCTACACAAGATCCTTCCCACTTTCTGTCATGTTGGTGTATCTCAGTGGCTAGCACTATAAAACCAGCTTCAGTCTGGGCAAGTACAAGCAGCCGCACATACACACGCATGCATGTCGTCATATAAGCGAAACTTCTCCAGTACGACGTAAAACCCAATTTCACCTCACCTATGATGTTGGTATTCTGTACAGAGGTACTGCATAAGACCTTAAATGTCTTGGTGGTCCAGTGGATACAGTGTCTGGCTTGGAGGAGTTCAGTGGTTTGATCCCCTGGATGGGTCATACAAGAAGACATTAAGAGATGGTACTTGTTGTTCCCCTGCCTGGTGGTTGACATAAGGGTATAAATCATGCTTGGCTCAGGATGTGTCAAGTGTATCAGGCTGGGTATCCAAGGTAAAAATTGGGCATGGTATCTCAGTGAGCTTGCAGTCACTCCAAAACTTTAAGGCTGGACTGTACGGAAAGACCCCGCACATTTGTGTTGCTATGTAAATACAATAACCTTGATTAGGCAATAAGCCCTTTTGGACCTCCCTACAATGTTTCAAATCCATCACAGCAGTTTACTGGTTTTGAAAAAGTAGACCGTCGTGTAAATTATACATTATGTCCAACTTACGGTGTCTTGAATGGTGCCACAGTTGAAATTAAGTGTGGGTCTCCATTTAAATATATATTTTCTCCAAATCTGATAGGATGATGTAGTTGACATATTATTCAAAGCAGCTTTAAACCCAACAGCCTCACTCATTCTAGTAGGTCAGTTTAAATTTTCGTGAAAGCAAGAATTAACAAAACATTCAGGGGGCTTTTACCTGTTCTGCCACTTCCGAGTACAAGACAGAGACAACGGCATTATGTTGATATGAGTCATTCTACACTCAGCGACTACCGATATCACTACCGCCACTGTCAAGGTCATTATCCACTGTAGCAAATGCTCCAGTACTACTTTAATTGCTTTGAATATTGAAACTGACATTCTGGCCCAATTCAATCAGATACACCTTTCGTAAATATGGATCGCCCTTACAAATCTATAAGGTGCACAAGGGTATTATTTTCATGCTATTTTTAATCGGTTCTTTTCCATAAAAGATTCTGCCTCACTTGTGAAGAGTCCATCTTGTGTTAAGGGAGGTAATTGTAGTTAAATCAATCAACAAGTGATGATTTTCCCCCACTTTTGTCTGCACAGTTGTCGTAATGAGGGTAGTTTGCTTTCTGGCTCACTGCGGGTTGCTTGCTAAATGTCTACGTGAAGCTGATATTTGCCGCATGACAGAATTAATTGGAGGTTGAGGGATGTACACCAAGGATGGACATAATTGGGTCGGAGATTGAAAAAAAGTACTGGATTATATTGCTGGCCTTGCATAGAACTGTGCGGGGCAAAAAATTCTGTGGAATTATTTTTCTCATAAAATGGTCATTTAAGACCTGAGAGAGCATGAAGTTCTTGACGGGGAGAATGTTAATTTCTTGTGTTATTTGATTTGCATTAAGTCTGAAAGGTTGGAAGATCTATTTCAGTCTTGAGAATAAGCTGCAGCTGCGTGACCTTATGGAGACACTACAGGAGGTCACTGCTACACAATGCTCTGAAGACTACTCTTGATGTCACCCTGTTAGTCCGATAAGCGATTTATAGCTATAGGAATCAATGATCAGCAGCATGAACTCGGTTGATGGGGTGTCATCATACCCCCGTGGCCCAGATTGTAGCTCACATCATCAGTCACTGATATACTGATCACTGTCACAACAACAACAAAAGATCCCCCCCCCCCCAAAAAAAAAAAGGAAAGAAAGAAAAAAGAGCAAAAAAAAACACACACAAAAAAAACACACAACAAAACAAGACAAACAAAACATATGGTGTTTCGTGCTCACGGTACTGATTGTGCACTCGGCTGAACACATCGAAATTTATATAATGCACTCCCCCCCTTTTTTAAAATAGTATGCGCTATACTAAAAAAATACCAGGGCTCCAGATAAGGGCCATATCGGCGTATGTACGGATATCAAATAAGCATGATACGATATGAAATAATTTAGAAAACGTAGCAGATACGCACCACAGCAGTGGTGTGCAGTCTTGGAATCATTTACATACGTATTTATCTGAAAAAGTATTGTGTTATTGTTTATTGACCTGTTTACACAAGAGTAGCAATGTTGTGGTGCTTATATGAAACGAAACACAAGATTACTGATACTCCATTAAATTCCATTCAGTACCCTAAATGTACTCTTATTGTTTTCCAGTACTCCTATGTTGAAAAAATAAGGAGTACGTACTCCTGATCATGAAAAAATATCTGGAGCCCTGAAATACAGTAGATGCATATTTGACCCAAAACAAATGTGAGATAACTTGTAAAATGTTTGGTATCAAGTCATGAGGCAGCAGAACAGTGACCTCTCTTTGATTCCACAGGAAGACATTTGTCTAATACATGTGTTCCAGGGTTTAGCTGTGCAGGCATATGGCAATCATGAAACATTTATCACTTCAATCTGCAGGTTTTTTCACAGCAAGGTTCTTGAATCGATTATGAGGCAAAGGCCACTTATGGGAACAATTTACAAACCGCTAATGATGAAGGCAACATTTGTATCTCCTAGTAATCTAACTATGTAATGAGTGTAAGCTTAACACACAATTATGGGATTTGTCAGGGTCTTTCTGTATTGAAAAACAGGGGACTCTCTGCAATGCATTTTAAAGGTCCAGTACATGTATAAGGGGGTTTCACACATGAATATGGAGGTCCTCAACATCAATATTGGGGTCTATCAGGGTCCAAGACATGATTGTGAGGATCTAAGGGGATCCAAGGCATGATTGTGAGGATCTAAGGGGATCCAAGGCATAAATATTGTAACACCCTTATGGTGCACATGTGAAGAGTGAGTGAGTTTAGTTTTACGCCACATTCAGCAATATTCCAGCTATATGGCGGCGGTCTGTAAATAATCGAGTCTGGACCAGACAATCCACTGATCAACAACATGAGCATCGTTCTGTGCAATTGGGAACCGATGACGTGTCAACCAAGCCAGCGAGCCTGACCACCCAGTCCCGTTAGTCACCTCATACGACACGCATGGGTTACTGAAGGTGCAATCTAACCCGGACCTTCACAGGTCACACTTGTGAAGACAAATAATACAATAAAATGATGAAGTATGGAAAGCGATGTATTCAAACTTTATGTTTGATTCTGTTTTAATGGCAACAAAGTAAATGTAGTGTGAACATACCCTGAATCCAGGTACTGATGTTATCCTAGGTGATTTGCCATCTTCAGATGACTTTTGTTTACTTTAATGTTAAAATTATGGACGGACAATTGCAGATAGATCGTATTATAACAAAAATAGGTGACACTTTAGATTGTCCAATTTACATTACGTTTTGAATACACTTCCTACATTTATGGAGACTCTATGACAATATTGATGTCAGCTGCATGAACATAGGGGTCCAAGACTGGAATATGGGGTCCAAGGCATGACTCCCATATTTATAAGTAAGATTAAGATTAGGTTATTTAGGATATGCTGATATTTTCACAAAATGATGTGAGTCTTTTGTTAGTTTATTATTAATCTTCCCAAGGCAAGAGTGAGTGAGTGAGTTTGGTTTTACGCCGCTTTTAGCAATATTCAAGCAATATCACGGCGGGGGAAACCAGAAATGGGCTTAACACATTGTACCCATGTGGGGAATCGAACCCGGGTCTTCGGCGTGACGAGCGAACGCCTTAACCACTAGGCTACCCCACCACCCCTCCCAAGGCAAGAGAGTTAAGTGACTACAAAAGCTTAGTTTTCACCTTGCTGAAGTAGGCTGGAATTATGCAGTTATATTTGGCTGAATTAATTATTTGTATGAAGTTCAGTCCAAAACATGTAATAAAACAATTGCAGGATTTGCAGAGTACAATCAACTGGATGGTAGTTAATATTTTCCAAATCTTTTCATGTTTATAATCAAGGTGCTCAGGTGATTTGATTATGTGCATTGAAGCAAAGTGTTATGAGAGGTGAAATGTGAATGGTCTTTTGGAAGGACATGTAATGGATAAAAGTTGTGATAGCCACTGGTATACAGTTGAACCACTAAATGTCAGCCTAGCTCATCAAGGGTAGAAACTGGACTTCATATTCAGTCAACCCCTTACCACGGGAAGATGGATATCATCTAATCCTATCCATGCCTTTAAAAGTGTTTAATTAAGTCATAAAACTTTCACAATCTTATCAGGTATTTCTGTAGGTGGGCCAATTACTGCCATGAAGGTAGTGGCAAGTGCTTGCTCAGACCTTTGCTACATACACTGAGATACAGGATACCACAGGAAGTACACTGAGGTTGACACTTTGATTAAGATAACGATGAAACTTTCATTGAATATTTTTTCACTTAACATCTTTGCTGTCAAGCCAATTGCAGTTGATTGTTTCCTCTTAATGTGATAGATGATAGCTGGAGAGGATGGGGCCTCAGTAAATCCTTTTTTATAAGCAAATTATTAGGTGAAAAATTAAATTGTGTATTATTAATAAAATGATGTATAGAATAGAATAGATTGTGCAGATATTTTTCAATTTGTAGCCGTCCCAACTTGATAATACAGAAAATTAATACTGACTGTTTTGAATTACAACTTCTTTGATTTTGTGTATATGACATTTTTATACAGATTCATGTACCGTTGTCTGTTCAAGAATCTGTTTATTGACGATTCCGTTCAATTTATTTTACAAGACACTTATAATGGGATGGTACAAGAAATTTGTTTAATATCTATTCCAGTGTATTCCTGGAAATGCCATGT